GGTTGAGGCAGAAAGATCAGGAGTTCAGGGTCATCCTGGCTACACAGGGAGTTTGAGGCCAGCCTGGGCTACATAGAACACCCTGTCTCAAAACTAATGCCAATGAAAACATATTATTGGGCAGTCAATTGTGAGGTGGACTAAGTTCCTTGTGGAGGGGCTTCTTGTTTTTGTTTGCAGGGATTTGGGGGTATCCACCCTTGCTACAGAGCATTGGAGGTGGCGTATCAGGCAGATTGTCAATGGACAGAATGGAATCCAAGAGCAGGAGCCTTCGAGAGCTTTCAGAGGAGATGGCGTTGTAGAGAGAATTCAAGGGAGGGGTAGTTTTCAGTGTGGAGGCTGGAAACTTGAACTTCACACTTTCTACCAGTGAGCTGCGGCCCCAGCGCTTGATATATATCAATATCAATAGATAGGTTAGGTAGGTAGACAGATGAGTAGATGATAGATAGAGCTATCAAGATAGACAGATGATAGATATAAATAATATATTAGAGGTGTGTGTGTGTGTGTGTGTGTGTGTGTGTGTGTGTGTGTGTGTGTGTGTACATGCTTGTGGAGGCCGGAGGTCAACCTCAGGTGTCATCTTCAGAAACACCATCCACCCACCCCGCGCTGGGCACTTTGACTGACATGGGTGTTGTGGATTAGGGTGTTCTTGCTTTCAAGGCAAACATGTTGTTACCCACAGAGCCATCACCCCAGCTTTTATCGTTAAATAAATCCGGTTGAAAAGAAACTAGATCCAGGAAGGGTCACTGGCCAGCAGAGCACTTTGGAGCAGCCCTGAGTGCTAGGAGCCGTCCATTCATCGCCATCGCTTGAGCTCCTTGTGTATTTACCTTCTCCAGTTGTTTACAGAGACCTGCCCTCCTGTTTACCCTGCTCATTCGCTCGACAACCCTCCTCTGTAGAGATAACATAAATAAACAATCTGAGCAGCGTTTCTTAAAATGGAATCTGGGAGGGGTGTGGGATAGATTGAGGACTAAAAAGCGGAGAATGTTAAGTCTTTGTCCCCCCCCCCCTTTTTAATAACGACATTTTAAAAGATTGGTTATAAGGATAAGCATTTTACAGTGTGTCGTTTTAGTGGCAGAAGACTCCAGTGTCTTTAGTGGATACTGTTCTGTGCACTTGGCTGGGAACAGGACTAAAGCAGTTTGGTTAGATATGGTGACTGTGAGACCGTAATCACAGCCTTAACTGTCAGCTTGACACAGTGTCACCTGAGGAGGAAGTCTCAATGGAGGGCATGTCCACACCACATTGGCTTATGGGCATGATTATGCGGTCTTGATTGTTAATTGATTTAGGAGGGTACAGCACACTGTGGGTAACGCCATTCCCTAGGCTGGTGGTCCTGGGACCGTGCTTACCTTGGTGTGCATGAGTCTGTGGGGAAGCTGGCAGGCAGCATTCCTCCTTGGTTTCTGCTTCAAATTCTTGCTTCAGTCCCTGCCGTGACTCCCTCAGTGACGGGTTGTGACCTGGAGTGTAAGCTGAGTCTACGCTTTCTCCTCTCCATCGCCTCTGGTCAGGGTGTTTTATCACAGGAACAGGAAGGAAAGTAGGTCACGTGACTGACGGAGTCAAGGTTGATGCGAAGGCGGCAGAAAGCACAGCACTCCGCTCAGCAGCGCTCAACAATACCGTGCTGTGTTCGAAGAGCTTGACTCACTCACAAGGAGTCAAAAGACAAGAGAAAGCTTTTAGAAGGGGAGGATATGTACTGGATAGGTAGATTGTGGCGATGGTCGGTCCCCTGGGTACATGCTTACCTTGGGACTCTTCAGGTTATATATGCTAAGTGTGTATAGCTTTTGTTGTTGCTGACAGAGTCTCACTGTGTTGCTTAGTCTGGCCTTGAACTCCTGGGCTCGTGTAATCCTGTCTCAGCTTCCTGAGAGGTGGGATTATAAATGTACACATCACATCACTGTGTCTGACTACAGATGTACAGCCTCTTTAAAAAGATTCTATGGGGTCTGGGACACCAGGAGAACAGGGTCCACAGAATCAGTTGACCAGGACTCTTTGGGGGTCGAAGAGATCAGGGAGCCTGTAGGGGTCTGACCTAGGTCCTCTGAATATAAGTTATGGCTGAGTAGCTTGGTGTTCTTGTGGGATTCCTAACAGTGGGTGCGGGGGCTGTCTCTGTTCTTTTGCCTGCTTGTATGACCCTTTTCCTCCTACTGGGTTGCCGCCTCATCCAGGCATAATATGAGGGGATGGGCCTGGTCTTATTGCAACTTGATATGCCACGTATGGTTGATATCCCTGGGAGGCCTGCCCTTTTCTGAAGGAAAATGGAGGAGGAGTGGATCTGGTTGAGAGAGAGGGAAGGTGAGGGGAGAGGGGTGGAGGGGAAACATGGGTCAGGATGTAATATATGAGAGAAGAATTTTTTTAAAGATTTTTTTTTTTTTTTTTGAGATTGGGTTCCTCTGTGTAGCCCTGGCTGTCCTGGAACTCGATTTGTAGACCAGGCTAGCCTCGAACTCACTGAGATCTACTGCCTCTGCCTCCCAAGTGCTGGGATTAAAGGCAACCACCTGGCCAAGATTTTATTTTTTTTTTATTATTTGTATGTGTGTGTTCATGAGGTTTGGGCACATAAGTCCAGTGCCTGAGGAGGTCAGAAGAAGCCTAAGATGCCCTGGAGTAACACAGGGCAGAGTGGACGCTAAGAATAGAGCTTGTGTCCTCTGCAAGAGCAGGAGGTGATCCCAACCCCTGAGCCATCTCCAGCTCTCCCTCCCCCTTCTGTGAGATGGGGTCTTATGTAGACCAGGCCGGTTTCAAATTTGCTGCATAGCCGAGGATGACCCTGAGCATCTGATCCTCCTGCCTCCACCTTCTGAGTGCTGGGATTACAGGCGTGTGCTGTCACACTCAGTTCATGAGGAGCCCAGGGCTGCATGTGCGCCAGGCAAGCGCTGCATGTGTGCCAGGCGAGTGCTGCATGTGCACCAGGCGAGCGCTGCATGTGCGCCAGGCGAGCATGCCACCACCTGAGCTGCAGTCCCAGCGCTGTGCCAATGCCAACCGTGTCTCAGGGACAGTGCGGGAAGAACGGCTGGTGTGTGTGTGTGTGTGTGTGTGTGTGTGTGTGTGTGTGTGTGTGTGTGTGTGTGTGATTCATGTATTGACTTGACCCTCCCCACTTTGTGTGTCTTGGTGAAACTAGGCAGGGATTCTGGGCACACTGGGGACCACAGCAGAGCCATTGAGACAGTTGGTGGCCTGGGTCAGTGAAGTCCTGTGGCTGGCCAGAGCCTCATCCTCTCTGAGGTTCCCTCTGAGGCAGCAGCATGCTTCCCATCTGACCTGGCTCGAGACTCACCCTGAGTGGCTCTAATGCATTCTCTGGCTGGGTTCCACCGCTCTGGGGCTCCACTTCCTGGGCCAGTCCTCCTTGCTGTTCCTGTGTGTGCTGTCCACCCTCTGGCACTCCCCGGCATCCTTCTGTGAGCCCGGTCCATCTGTGCATACCAGCCCCTCGATTCGCGTGGATAGCGTCTTCCCCCCTGTGTGAACGATTTATTTGCACTCAGGAAGCTGAGCCCGAGTCGTCCTGCAGCCCTTCCCCCTTGCTTAGAGTCTGGAGCCAACATGTCGCTTACAGTAGCATTTGCCAAGTGTCTCCAAAATGGCTCCCTCCTGCTCTCATCTCAGACCGTTAGGACAGTCTCCTGGCCTCTGCCTCACATGATTCCACACAGATCTGTGGTCACTGTGCACGGCCGGCCGCCACTGCCTCCAGTGTCGTCACGCTTGTCCATTCCCTGGGGCCCTCCCACCCTGTGCTCAGGAGGGTCCCGACCCTCTCTACAGCTGTGCATCAGCAGGTCGGCACATCTGCCTGTCTTGCTCTTCAGAGCAGAAACACCCAAGGTGAACTACAAGAAAACACTGCAAGGTGCAGCTTACCCTGCTCAGTTTTGGTTCCCCGGATCCAACCCCTGTCTGTGACACATAGTATAGCAAAGTCCACACTGAGCTTTTTACTCATTTGAAAAATGCTGAATTTCATAACCCTTCCTCTACCACTTCCTCTCTCCAAATTTAAACGACAGTTCTTTCTTTTAAAAAAAAGATGCTGGGTGTGATGGTGCACACCTTTAATCCCAGCACTCCTGAGGCAGAGGCAGGCGGGTCTCTGTGAGTTCCAGGCCAGGAAGGGCTATAGGGTGAGACCCTGTCTCAACAGAAAAGGAGAGCGGAAAGCTGGAGAGATGGCTCAGCAGTTAAAAGCACTGGCTGCTCTCCCAGAGGTCCTGGGTTTGATTCCCAGCACCTACATGGCAGCTCCTAACTACCTGTCACTCCAGATCCAGGGATCTGAGACTTCTGGTTTGCGTGGGTACCAGGCACAGATGATGTGCTTATATACACACAGGCAAAGCACCCATATACATAAAACAAATGTAAGAAATTATTTTTATTTATTGTGTATGCACATGTACATGAAGGTGTTTCAGGAGTCTAGAAAGGGTTTTTGATTTCTAGGAGCTTGAGTTTTGCCTGTGGGTTGCCTGACATGGGTGCTGGGAACCAAACTCTGCCCCCCCCCCCCAAGAGCAGTAAGTGCTCTTAACTACTAAACCATCTCTTCTGCCCCAGGGAACTCGTGTGTGTGTGTGTGTGTGTGTGTGTGTGTGTGTGTGTGTGTGTGTGTGTGTGTGTTTCACCTGTCGGCTTTTGGCATCCGAGACATTTTCCTTTGTAATGGAACATTAATTATATATAGGAGTCAATGCGTCTAAAAGGGAGAGAGAGCAGAATGGATCATAGATCCTAACTCCGGACCGTGCTCAAACCAAATTTGGTAATGTTGATGTAAAGCTCTCAACAGAAAAGCCCCCGAGTGTCATCATGGAAAATGTTAGCGCCGCTTTCCTGGATCAGGGAATGATGGAGAGCGCTCCTCCCTGGAACTGGTAGCTCCAGAAAGAGACTATAATAAACTCCCCTCTCTCTCTTTTTCCAAACAGGATCAGTTTGACAACTTAGAAAAACACACCCAGTGGGGAATCGATATTCTTGAAAAGTACATCAAGTTCGTGAAGGAGAGAACTGAGATTGAGCTCAGCTATGCCAAGCAGCTCAGGTAAGGTGGCCCTGCGAACATGAAAAAGAAAGGCTCACTTCTCTTTTTCATTAAAATTTTTATTACACTTATTTATTTGTAGGGCAGGGGAATGTGTGTGCCATGTGCTTCTGTGCAGGTCAGAGCACACACAAGGAGTTGGTTTTCCCTCCTTTCGTGGTGTGGGTCCTGGGGATTGAACTCAGATCATCAGGCTTGGCAGCGAGCCCTTTACCACCCCCCCACCCCCATGCCATCTTGCCAGCCGAATGCAAGCATGATTTCTATTCTCATTCCACAGTGTCTCTCTGTGTGTAGTCTTTTCTCATAAAGTAATATGTCATTCCTTTAGTTTGTTCAGCTCATCTGTTTGAGACAAAGTCTCATGTAACTCAAGCTAGCCTTGAATTCACTGTATGGTAGAGGCTGGCCTTGAACAAAGAAATACACACGTGTATGGAGAAGCACAGGAATCCCACACGGAAGGCTCTCGGCTAGCCCTCCCTTCCCAGAAGCCATGCCCCTACTGAGTGGCAGGGTTCAGAAGAGCCTGCCGTGAGTTTCACATGGGTGTGAGCATTGGCTCTGGTCCTTTAAAAATCTTTAATCCCAGCACTCAGGAGGCAGAGGCAGGCAGAATCTCTGAGTTCGAGGCCAGCCTGGGCTACAGAGTCAATTCCAGGACAGCCAGGACTACTTGGGAACTAAAACAAAAACAAAAACCTGCCTTCCTTTCCTCTGCATCGGTTGTGAGATTCCTCGGAGCTGTGGTCGTTGCTTATATTTTCATTGCTCTTTACTGTCTTGCTGTGTGGGTTTCCAGAGCGTCTCTGTGGTCACTCAGCAGCTGCCTGTTTGCACTCATGCTGGATCTTTTTTGCTTTTAAATTGTAATTACATTATTTATTTATTGTGTGTGTATGAGGGAGGTGAACATGCCACTGCCAACATCCTGTGAGGCCAGGGAACATCTTTAGGGGTTGTTCTCTCCACCATGTGGGTTTCTGGGATTGAACTCAGGTCATCAGACTTGGCACCAAGTGCCTTTGCACACCGAGCCCTCTCTCCGGGCCGGCACAGGCCACGGGTGCGTATCTGAAGCGTTTTCTTCCTTTACTGTAGGACTGGGACTGTGATCAGATTATACCTCTGCTGGCTTCAGTGTGCTTAAACTAGTTAATGTTTGCATGGTTTCACTCTTCAGAGTGTGTGAGGGGTCCCAGGGGCAGAATTTGAAAAGAACTGTCACAGGAGTGTTTAGGGTTGAAAGCTGGACCCTGGCAGCTCCCACAAGCTAGTCCCAGCCACTTGTCCCCAGCATGCTCATTAAAGAGGCAAGTCAGAGTGAAACGCAGAGAAAGGATATTTACTCACTGTGGCCACACTGGGAAGAGGAACGAAGAGGTCCAGTGACCTCCAAGTCCGTCTGTGGGTCCTGATGGCCATTTAAATAAAAAGCCAGAGGTGCGCAGGGTTAAGCAGTCCTGGTCCATCACTGGTTTGTTGATGTCGATGTCCTAGCTCTAGTGGGTGACATCCCAGTACTAGTCTTCAGCGTGTTCGTATGCGTGTGCGTGCGCGCGCGCGCGTGTGTGTGTGTGTGTGTGTGTGTGTGTGTGTGTGTGTGTGTAGTGTAGGT